TTTTTTTCCAGAATTGATCGCTTTTTTTCTAGAATTGATCGCTTTTTTTTCCAGAATTTTCAGGACTCACCTCTTTCGAGACGAAAAAACGAAGATGCTCAACACGCATGAACACGTCGAAAAAACCTAGAGCCATAAATCCTGCTAGAAATACCTTTAAGCTAAAGCCGGAAGTGCTGCCGGAAAAATCTTTGAAGTGGTTATCTCTTCAAAAATAACGAAACGATCGTCAGGATCGCACCAAGACTTCGCATCAGGTGATGCGAAATTGGTCAAAGCAAGTGGAAAAGTTATCATCTGCATAGCTGGAGAAACAGACAGCCAAATTGGCCCAGGTACTTCGTTTCTGGGTTTTTTTCCCCCGGATCCTTTTTTGCTGTATTTTTTGCGGTCCTTGAATTTCTGGGAATTATTAGAATTGTATTGTTGTAGAATTGAATGTCCGCCAAGTACGAGAAACACCAGCAGCGTAATCGCGGGGAGCTGGCTGATGCGCAGCAGCAACAACAGCAGCAGGTGACCAACGCTGTCGCCACCATTTCGCCTCAGTATTTCGATGTGGAACAAATAGCTCCATCACATAAGTGAGCTTTTTTTGCACCTCTTTTCTTCAATTTTTCAGGGAAATTTCGCTTATGTTGCGCTGCTGGGCAATGCAGCCGAAAAAGCTGTTGAAATTTGTGAAGAAAGCAGTGGATAAAGCACCTGCACAACCGCAGAAGCAGATTAATATAGCTGATTTTCGACAAGTTTTTGAAATAGAAGAATCGAAGGATTTCACTTGAATGTCATGTGTATGAAGATAATTTATGACGCAGTCTGTTTCATCCCTTAGCTGTATACACAAACTGAGCAGTAGGAGTGGGAATCATCAGTACAGCCTCCTATCCACCATGTTTTGAATAGTTATGTGTCTAATTTGCAAGTCGGATGACAAGAAGAAATAGCTATGACTGGAAAAGCAAATAAAGTGAGAAAGAAAGGAAGGAAGTTAAAACGTGAAGGAGCAAACAGAAAGGAAAGGAAGCAGGCAAGTTAAGGCACGATGCGGACATTATTAGAAAGAGCCGTTTATGAGAATAGACTGCTGACTAGGCGTTTAGTTTCTGAATTACCAGGGAAGATGAATTTGCTCAGTACTGATCGGATCCGGAAGCAAAATCTGAGAACGGAACGTTCTAGTCTGGCAATACCAAATTTTGCTTCGCAATTTTGCACTATGAATATTTTGGGGTACTTAGATCAGTAATATTTCATAGTCTGATTCTTCAGCTATTCAGCTAGCTGTTTTTCGAGTTCCTTTGACCAAAGCTGCTTCACCTGGGGATCAGCCGGCTAATAATGGTCCTGATGTTCGTCCGCTCTCCTGAATGGATTACCAAATTTAGCCGATTTTCCGGATATAAACATTTGGCAAGACTTTAGCTGCTTCCGAGATATCCTTGGTGCATGTTCTCCGTCTACAGAGCGTGGTACCTTATTGATTAGAAGGGTTTTTGAACATACTTTTGAATATTTTTATATTTGAAAAAAATGAATTTAGCTAAAATTAAAGACTTTTATCTTGACTGGCTGCAGTTTTGAGCCATAGGCACCGCTATCATTACTAATCAGGGTGATACTCGTGAAGTTGTGATTGGTTGAAACGAAGCACCAAATTTGGAACTGTTTTTTCGGTTGAGCTAAATTGGGAAATTTCAGGGCGCGGCTCTATCGGCTGTTTGAATACGTTGAGAAAGAATTCGATGCACTTTACGAGGAAAATTGCGAATGTTAGCATACCTCATTTTGCCTAAAATTTTATACCTGAATTACCTGAAATACGCCGTTAATTCATAATTTGTTCCTCTAAATCGCTACTTTTCCAGTTGTTTCGTCCAATACTGCCTTGCCTTTTGGTCGGTATACAATAGCAGTTAGTTACTGAATTAATTGTTTCGCTGTGTTCCTATTTTTCTTAAAATAGCCGTCTTTCCTGTACTGTTAATTAGGCACCAAAGTCTTTCATTTCGCGAAGAGAATATGAAATTTAAGTCAGTTCTAGCAAAAAAGAGCTAAAATTGATGTAAAATGAGACACAAAGTGTAACTGAAAAAAGTCTAAGAGAGTTTCTTTTGAAAATTTCTTTTGATGACTCAGGAGGATGCAAAGGCTGAGGAATTTGCTCATTTTTAGACAGCTTATCCAGATTTCTTTTGATTTACCGACTTGTAACTAATTTAAAGCGGACATCAGAGTGGCCAGCAGGCTGACCACCGGGCGACTGCAGCATTGATCGAAGCGAGTGGACAATTTGCAACTTACACTGCTTGAGAATTAGATTATGGATTACAGCCAATTGAAGTATTCTAGATAGAGCCGATGGTGCTAGAAAGGAATAAATTTTGACTCAGGCTGCCGTTACCGCCAATTTTCTGGCAGGTTCAGCCGTTTTGTGCAAATTTTCTAGTGGACATGCCCCTCGTTTCACGTATCTGGATACATTTGTTACGACACACGGGAAACCGTTGTGCACGCATTGCAGTGCGAGCGAAATTGAATCAGCTGAGTGAGCGTCTTGGCGAGTCAATACTGCAATCGCCAGAGGTAGTCTCATCACCTGGTGATCCATCTTCAGCACGAAAGGAGGCCGCCCGGAAAGGTTTTCATTGTATTTTTTTTTTTGAAAAATTTCATAGTATTTTCGTCTGTCCCATTTTACTTCTGGTGCTATAAAAATCAGTAAATTCTGGAATTTTTTACTTTTTTGGAGTTATTCCGATAGAATTGCTTTTTTTTCACTTGGATCTAATGATCCCGAGATTTCTGAGGGAGTAAAAGGATGTTTTAATATTAATTTTTGATGTTAAAGTCTTCAAATTTTCTGACTCTCAACTAATTAAACCGGTAACAGTGGCCAGGTTGAGTAATTTTTATGCGTTTTGTGCTGTGTAACAGCAGTACAAAACGCATATTGTTACGGGGTTGTCT